AATATTAAAGGGTTTGTTAGAGGGCTCTTCCCTTCCAGCTTTGCTGACTGCAACACACATAGCTCTCTTGGGCTGGTTCTACCTCCTGTTAGCAGTTGTCCTTGGCAGGTATCCCATGGCTTTGGCATCTCCAGTATCTTGGGATCTGTAAGGCAATCCAGGCTTCACCATTAGAGCTTCATGCAGTCTCCTCTCCAGGCCTCCATGCAGTGACTTTTCTTAAGAATAGAGAAAGAGTCCACAAGCCAGTTCCTATATCCTTTTTGGCTCCAAATCCAGAACCATGTGGCAGAAGCTGCCAGGTTCTGTTGCTTGTTGGGGCTATAACCTGGGCACCTCCTTGAATTACATTTGCACACGATTTCTGTTGTTTAGGACTAGGAAATCATCAGGATGTTCCACAGTTTTGTAGAATCAGCTGGGTGAGGTCTTGTTTTGAGGTTATCACTCTCTTTATTCCATTCAGCACCAAGCTTTTCTTTAAACTTTTCATCTCCTTGAACACAAGCCTTGGCTCCACGTTACACTTCCTGGTGCCCCCTTTCCCTCAACTAAAGTTCTGTACTTGTCTTTGCCCTGTTTGTTTCTTTTCTCTGAAGATCTGCATAACAACTAGTATGTCCTGAAATCTTCTCTGTAAAAGCCATTAATCCTAAACTCTTCAAGTTTCGCCTCAGGAAGATTTCTAGGACAGGGACAAAATCCAGCCACATTCTTTGCCAGAATATCCCCAAAATGGTCTCTAGGCAAGCTGATAATATTCTTCTTCTCTGAAACTGCTTAAGCTGGATCCCCACAGTCCACATTACCCCCAGCAGCACTGTCTTCCATGCTGCTACTCGGGTTAGCCCATAAATCCCCGCTTAGAAGCACGCAACTGCTTTTCTAGCCCAAAGTGTAAAAATCTTTCATCTTCCTCCAACAAAATAGCTTGCACAGGCCTGTCACAGCAATATGCCACGCCCTGGTGCCAACTTCTGTCTTAGTTACTGTTTAGTTGCTGTGAAGAGACATCACGACCACTGGAACTCAAAAACAAAACAAAAGAAAGGCTTTAACTGGGGGCTTGTTTATAGTTTCAGAGGGTTGGTTCATTATCATCATGATAGGAAGCAGACAGGCATGGCACCAGAGCAGTACCTGAGAGATTTACATCCTGATCTATAGGGAGCAGGCAGAAAGAGAAAAACTGGGTCTGGTGTGGGCTTTTGAAACATCAAAGCTCACCCCCAGTGACACAGTTCCCCCAACAAGGCCACACCGACTGTAACAAGGCTACATCTTCTGATCCTTCTCAAGTAGTTCCACTCCCTAGTGACTAAGCATCAAATATATGAAACTATGGAGGCCATCTTCTTTGAAACTATGACAACAGTGTTCCAGCTGGCCCCTCACCAAACTGTGAGCATCACAACAATGGCAGATTTTGATGTCATGCAAGTAACATCTCAAAAGAAATAACTATGGTGGCTCTGCTGTGCTAGACTTTTAGAGACCTATCTCAGGTCACAGATAAAATAATTCCTCCATCTCTGAGACAATTTCATCATAGTCTAGTGAAGGGTATGGCATAGGATTACCCAACTGGGGATGGTGGGATGGCTTGATATCTATTATATGACTGTTTTTAAATCCTTTACTATATCTATGTCTATGTCTATATGTATTTCTGATTGACACATGTTTTTATACAATGTATCCCTGAAGCCTTGACTCTTCTTTGACTGTTGAAAACTTTTTTCTTTAAATTTTCTCTCTCTTCTCCTTATTACATTTTTTTCTTGTTTTGTTCAGTGAGGACCTCTTCCTTTGTTATTTTACTGTTTTGCTCAGGGTAGCAAAGCAGTAGCCAGTGTAGGTTTTAGAGTCAGAAGACTTGGGTTCAGATCCCAGCTGTTACCTATCAGCTACATTACCTTGAACACAATTAAATTAATAAATTATTTAATTTCTAGTGTCCTGAGTTACTATCTTCTATAAAGTGGGGATAGAAACAGGACTGCCTTCTAGGGATTTTGGAAGATTTAAATGAAATGATTCATAAAATGCTCAGAAAAGAGCATCCAATACTCAGTGACTTTAAACCCTTACTAATTTCAGTATTGCTAATTGTATTAGTTAATTGTCCCATTGCTTTGCATGTCAAAATTCCTTGACAAAGTAACTTCAGGAAAGAGGGAAGGTTTGTTTTGGCTCAATCTGCAGGTCAAGGCTGTCATTGCAGGGAAGGTATGGATGGTGGTCGGAGTTTGAGGTGACTGCTCACTCTGTTTCTTAGCCAGGAAGCAGAGAGACACGAGTACCTGTATTCAGTGTACTTTGTCCTTTTTATTCTGTCCAAGACCCCAGTTCACAGACAGCTCCTTGAGTTGAGGGTTGAGTCTTCCCGCTGCATTTAAGCCAACCTTGATAATGCCTCAGAGGTGTGCCTGGAAACTTGTCTCCTAGTGATCCTGGAGCCTTGAAGTTGACAGTCAATATTAGCCATCATGTTAATAGTAAAATATTTCTTTTTATCTTAAGCTATTGCCTCAGTGTAGATGACAGTCAGTCAAGTAGTCACCTCTGATTGTAATATTTCTTCCACACTTCAGTGTTTGGCTCATTTCTTTAATAATATCACAAATGAAATATGCAAGATCTAGATCTATAATTTCTTACCTGACTTATTCTATTTTGTTCCCCCACATTCTCTTGATGGTGTCACAATAGAATTTTCATAGTCCCTTAATTTTGAATTAATCTTAAGTTCTTTTATTTATTTATTTATTGAAAAAAAATTTCCGCCTCCTCCCAGCCTCCCATTTCCCTCCCCCTCCTCCCACTTCTCTCCCCCTCCCCCCACTCCTCTTCCCCTCCCTCTCCAGTCTGAAGAGCAGTCAGGGTTCCCTGCCCTGTGGAAAGTCCAAAGTCCTCCCCCCTCCATCCTGGTCTAGGAAGGTGAACATCCAAACTGGCTAGGCTCCCACAAAGCTAGAACATGAAGTAGGATCAAAACCCAGTGCCATTGTCCTTGGCTTCTCAGCAGCCCTCATTGTCCACCATATTCAGAGAGTCCAGTTTCATCCCATGCTTTTTCAGTTACAGTCTAGCTGGGCTTGGTGAGCTCCCAATAAATCAGCCCCACTGTCTCCGTGGGTGGGTGCACCCCTCGTGGTCCTGACTTCTTTGCTCATGTTCTTCCTCCTTCTGCTCCTCATTGGGACTTAAGTTCTTTTCTTATCCTAAGGAAAAGCCAGAACTACTGTGCGGCACATGAATGTATCACAGAGATATTGCATATTTTTTTTTTTTAAAGACAGGTTTTCTCTATGTAGTTCTGGCTGTCCTGGAACTCATTCTGTAGACTCATTTGTAGGCTGGCGTCCAATTCAGAGATCTGATTGCCTCTGCCTTCTGAGTGCTGGGATTAAAGGCATGCACCACCACCACCTAGCAAGAGGTATTGCTTATAATTATAAATAGTTAAACATGGACATTGAGGCTGGTCCAGCTTAAGACCCATACCAACAGTGGGAGTCCGCCCCTGGCACTGTCTGGAGGGCTAGAACTTAGAAACTGGACAGCCCAGAGTCCTAGGATAGACCCAAATATGTCTAGTGAAAAAATCAATGAAATCATTCCTATTGACATTCTGCTATTCTTTTTTTATACTATGCTATTCTTATAGATTGATGCCTAACTCAATTGTCATCAGAGAGGCTTCACCTAGCAACTGTTGGGAATAGATGCAAAGACCCATCACCAAATATTAGGGGAGCTCAGGGAATCCTGTGGAAATGGGGGAGGAAGGATTGTGGGAGCCAGGGAGGACACCAAGAGAAAACCCACAGAATCAACTGACCCAGGCTCACAGGAGTTCACAGAGACTGAACTGACAACCAGGGAGCCTGCGTAGGACTGACCTAGGCCCTCTGCACATACGTTACAGTGTGTAGCTTGGTCTTCATGTGGGATTCTTAACAGTGGGAGCAAGGGCTGTCTCTGACTCTGTTGCCTGCTTTTGGGACCCCTTTCTCCTCCTGATCTGCCTTCTCCAGCCTTAATAGGAGAGGGGGTGCCTAGTCTTATTGCATCTTGATATGCCATGTTTGGTTGATATCCTGCAGAAGACATGCCCTTTTCTGAAGAGAAAGGAGGAGCTGGTAGGGAGAGAAGGAAGGTTGGGGAGAAGGACTGGAGGGAGGGGAATCTGTTATTGGGTTAGAAAAAAAATTAATAATAAAAGAAAAATGGACAATGATTAAGTAAACTATCTTACATTTCAATAGTGGAGTTCTCTATTATGTAGAATAATATTCAATAACAACAAAACTACTGGCAAACCATAGTATTTATTTTGAGTTCTATTTTGAGTTTTAGAAGTACATGGATACATAAGAAATGAACAGATAGCTTCTAAACATTTTGTTTAGGTACTCTGCTGTGTAGAACTAAAGGGATGAGTTTCATATTTTGCTCTTTTTCTCATACTCTTTTAAAAATATACATATGTTGCTTTCATATGAGGAAAAATATTCCAAATTTAAGGGAAAATGAGGCAAATAATGTCTCACAATCTTGAGCAAATTGTGCTTCCTTGGACTTTTAAACAATGGTAAGATATAGTGCTGGGTATATAGTAGACAATATTCATCAGATGTTGAAGGAGTATTATCTGTATTTAAGAGTAGTTATGGGCCGGGTGGTGGTGGCGCACGCCTTTAATCCCAGCACTCGGGAGGCAGAGGCAGGCGGATCTCTGTGAGTTCGAGGCCAGCCTGGTCTACAAGAGCTAGTTCCAGGACAGGAACCAAAATCTACGGAGAAACCCTGTCTCGAAAATCCAAAAAAAAAAAAAAAAAAGAGTAGTTATGGCTATAAGAAACTTCTACTTACATAGTGCTTTAAGAAGTATTCTTTATTGAGGAGGAGGGGGGAACAAAAGATTTTTAGTAAACACAAAAGAAACAATCTGACGACAGTGGCTGTTTTTAATAATTCATAACTTACCATTTCAGAGAATAATGTGGCCAGAAGGGGAGCATGTGGAACTGATTTGTCAGAAAATATATTTACCACTAAAAAATTGACCCATAAAAAGGAATCACATGATCATCATTTTAGAAATAGAGCTGTCGTTCCTCATACTTCATCAGAATGCTCGGAAGATGACCAGGTACTTCTGTTTTATGTTCATAGAAACAACTTGAAGAAGAGGGTGTTTTTCCTAGGAGAAGAAGCCATTGTGACAGCACTTTGTTGAGAATTAAGTCATTACATGCCAGTGTTTGATAATCCTCAGTTTTTGGTAAAAACTTCTTAAGGATCTGCCATGCGTAATGCTTTATAAAATTATATATTTTGTTTTTATAAGAGAGTTCCCTTTTCTACTTCTTTTTTTTCTTTCTTTTTCCTGTCCTAAACTTATCATATTTAGAGTTAAAGTAGAAGCCATTATCTTGCTTTTTCTCAGATTTGGCTTGTAGGTATTAGATGGTGTTTTCTAATCATCAAAATGTCATCAACAGTATTCATCTCTTTGGCTATCATGATTAATTATCAAGGAATGATAATTCATAGTGTTATCTTTATAAGCCGCTGAGTTTTGATTAATTTTTTGTTTTTGTTTTTTGAGACAAGGTTTCTCTGTGGCTTTGGAGCCTGTCCTGCAACTAACTCTTGTAGACCAGGCTGGCCTCGAACTCAGAGATCCGCCTGCCTCTGCCTCCCAAGTGCTGGGATTAAAGGCGTGCGCCACCACCGCCTGGCCTTTGATTAATTTTTTAAGTCATTTGAATTTCTTTTTTCTGTTTGCAAGTGTTTTCTGTGTGATATTATGGACAGACTTATACTTGATTTTGGTTTTATAAGGGTCAGAAGTCTCTGTGATAGAAATATAGAACAGAGGTCTATAATTCATTTTCTTAGAGCTTGCCTCTAGTGATGCTAGATGAGATATGAGTCGCCTTCCATAAATGATTCACGTTCTACTGGTGATGATTAAGATCATACTAAATATAGGGAGGCCTAGAATTTTTATATTGCCCTGTCCTCTTGTAGCTTGACAACATTATAGAAGCAGTCTCTATTTGTGTATCAGAGGTTCACTGTGGGGAGGACTTCGGAGGTGGAGCAGCTGTCTATTTTGTACACAAGCTGGATTTAAGCTTGTGCTCACCTGCTAGATATTGGAGGAGCCTAGGGTACCAGAATTACACTTAGACTTGCTGAAACCTATTCCTGCACCATTGCTGTAGCTTAGAGAATCTTTCAGGTAATGCTAGGAATAGAAACTGTTATTTCCTGACTGTGTTCTTACTGTGCTTTCAGATAGTGATTGATGAAGGCCAGCAAGTTGGCAGCTCCCTTCAAGGTGACATGACCCAGGCTGGAAAGGTCAAGGTAAAGCCAGACCCAGTTATCTGCCTTGGGACGACTGCACATAAACAAATGAACTGTATTAGCAACTTGTCTGTTACTGTGATGAATCCCCATGACCAAGGCAACTTTGAAAAAAAGAGTGTAGAGATAAAAGTCTGTCATGGCGGGAGGCACAATAACAAGCAGCAGGCAGCAGGAAGCCAAGAAATCACATCTTCAGCCACAAGCTGGAAGCAGAGAGTGAACTAGAAAGCAAGGCTTTTCAGTCACAAAGCCCACCTCCAGTGACAGACTTCTTCCAGCAAGGCTTTGCCTCCTAAACCTAGCAAGCAGCATCAACAACTGACATCAAGTATTCGATTACTAGAGTCTATGGGAGACAGCTCTTATTCAAACTTCTGTACAAACCAATAGACAAACGTTAGACTCTTGCTTTTCTTTGAACAAAACCGGAGATTCACCAGATTTTAGTCTTGAAAGGCTCTCTGTCTCTCTGTCTCTGTCTCTGTCTCTCTCTCTTTCTCTCTCTCTTTTAAATTGGTGTTGGAACATCTTAAACTGTTTGTGCTTGACTGGGTTTTGGATCTTTTTTTCCCCAAGGTTTAACAAATGGGAAGGGAATTTTAGCATACTCATTAAGAAGAAAGATGCTATAATGTAACTGATTCTCAAATATGAATATTGAAGCTGTCACATGGAAAGTGAATTTTGCTTTTGCATTTGCACGCTGAGTAATAGTTGTTGTTACCAGGTTAGAGGCATGGAAGCTACCGTTTTCGCTTTCTGTGGGGTGGGCATGGTCCATAATCAGTTCAGGACCGAAAGACACAGCTTGCCTTGAATGCAGTTAAGGAATCTCAGTTTGTAACTTTAAGGTATTTTTTTATGTCTATCTTTAGGTTATGAGCATAAAACGGATAGCAACCTTGTGACTTTTTTCTATGCCATGTGCTAACATTTTCTTATTTACACGCTTTGGTAGTCCCCTGAAATGCTTCATTGTCACTGTGCGGTGGGAAACGCTGTTTCATGTGGAATAGTTCTTCATTGAAATGCAGCTATTGGTCCTGGGAAGGTCATATGCTGGGCTTTTTACCTTTGAAGTAATTCTCAGTTTTATTTGCCTGAAAGAGAGAACACTTGATATTTTGTCCTGCTCACCTCTCCTGTGATTTCCCTGGCAGCAAGATTTTGTTTTGAATGGACTTTTCCTTCCCGCTCTCTTTAGCTTCCTCTATCTGGTCTCCAGAGTGCTGTCAGAGAGCATGCTGTGCGGAAGGACGGTGGCCCACCACCTCCATCACTGGTTTCTTCACAAGCAGTAACACACAAACCCCGGGCCTGCTGTTTCCTCTGATAGTGGTATTAAAAATTTTGGGAAGAAAATTTAAAACAGAGTCACTCACGAGAAACCCCAGCCTGTTTTCTCTTTCTCTGTAGAGAGCAGGCTGTTGCGTTTTAAAACCTTGGGCTTCCAAATGTTGTGCTCCTACAGATGGGAAAGCAGATGCATACAAGGGCTTTTAACTGGGCCTGGAGAGGCCACAGGAAAGCAGGTCTAGGATGCAGCTGTGTGCATGGGTCCCTGACTACATCGCCTTTCTTCGTGTCTAATATGCAAGATAATCTCAATCTTCTTGCAGGTAGACAACTTCCTGGACTTAGAAGATTTGGACATGGAGGAAGAGAGTGAGCCCCAGATGAACACGGGTATGTGCTCTCTCTCTTTTTCATACTGTGTAACCGTGTTTTGGAAACTTCAAGTGATTTATGTTGCTTTGTTATTTTTGGCAGTCCTTACCTTATCTCCCTTGATGTAAGAAAAACTGAAGTTGTGAAATTTCTTTTTGAAAAGGAAAAACTTTTACTCAGTTTTTAAAGCCCTTATTTATTTATTTTTTTTTTAAAGCCCTTTCAATCTTATAAAACCTTTGGTCTAAGTGAAATAGAGCTGTCCCTTTCCTTTCCCTCAAATTTGGAATAAATTAAACTGTTAAATAATCGTGCCACAAGAACATGTGCTCCACTATGGTCATTATGGTCATAGCAGCATTTTTTGTCATAGCCAGCATCTGGAAACAACCTAGATGCCCCTTGACTGAAGAATGGATAAGGAAAATGTGGTGCATTTACATAATGGAGTACTACATAGCAGGAAAAAAATAATGACATCTTGAGATTTGGAGGCAAATGGATGGATCTAGAAAACATCATATTGAGTGATGTAACCCAGACCCACAAGACAAATATCATATGTATTCACTCATAAGTGTCTTTTAGATATAAAGCCAAGAAAACCAGCCTACAAATCACAATCCCAGGGAACCTAGACAACAAAGAGGACCTCAAGAGAGACATACATGGATCTAATCTACATGGGAAGTAGAAAAAGACAAGAGAAAGTGGGAAGTACACTTGAACGCACTGGCACAGGAGACTACTTCCTAAATATAGCCCCAGCAGCACAGACACTGAGAGAAACAATTAATAAATAGGACCTCCTGAAACTGAGAAGCTTCTGTAAAGCAAAGGACACGGTCAACAAAACAAAATGACAGCCTACAGAATGGGTAAAGATCTTCACTAACCTCACATCAGACAGAGGTCTGATCTCCAAATTATACAAAGAACTCAAGAAATTGGTCATCAAAAGAACACATAATCCAATAAAAAAAATGGAGTACAGACCTAAACAGAGAACTCTCAACAGAGGGATCTAAATGGCTGAAAGACACTTGAGGCAATGCTCAGCATCCTTAGTCCTCAGAGAAATACACTGCATTTTTAGCCATTCCACTATTGTTTGAGCTTGACACTATGAGACTACTGGTTCTTGTCTGTACAAAACATTTACAAGGTAAAATCAGTGTTATCGGTGGGCAGGAGAGTGCCTGTATTGGGCATTATTGTGGTACAGTTTCTCACTTCCTTCTTGCAGTGAGAAGGTCTGTACTTGTCACCGGTCGTGTGGCTTGGTGTTCTTTTGCTCTTCCCAATAGAAACTGCATAGCTGAAGAGAATCTCTGTGAGTGGTGGTATTTAGCAGATTTTTATATCCTTTAGCATTTGATAGCAGTGATCTGCAGTCACAGACAGGAGGGAGCAGCAGCATGTAGCACCCTCTAGAATTGTAACTCTCCTGCTGGCTCTGATGAGTGGGTCCCTTTGCTCCACTTGTTGGTTCAGCTATTCTTGTATAGGCCTAGGGTACCAGGACTCTTAGGCAGGGCCAGTTTTGTATCTCCAGGGCTGAGGGTATCCGAGAGCCTTGGCCCTCCAGACTTCAAAGCTCTCTCGGGCTCTTCCAGTGAGACTGACAGTGTTTTGCTGGAGAGTGAATGTATTTCAGGAGCTGCTCGTTGTGTGGCTATTGTGGATTTTTCTCAAGCTGTCTGTAGAGGGTTGAGACAGCCCGTATAATCATCAGTGCAGTCCACCTGACTGTGTTCAAATCAGGTGGTGAATGCTGCCAGTGTAACATGGGATAACAGCTGTTAATTAGGGAGTCACATTGTCCCAGCCCCAACATCTTTCTTTATAGGAAGATGATCAGGATTGCTTACAACAAGAACCTAGAAAGTGTATCACTAATGCTAATAGTTATTTTGTTTAACAGTGCTGAACACCAGGCAAGTATATCAGGGAGAGATGATAAGCTAATAAAACAATGTGGCTAGTAAATTTAATATTTTTTTACATTGACCTTTACTAATTTTTGTTCCATTTTTTTAAAAAACATTTTCCAAGTATGCTATTCAGTCACCTGGTTTATTACTTTCTTTTAAAAAAATGAATAAAAAGATCTCAGTAGTATTATGTTTCCAGAAACTAGATAGCAGGAGGTCTTCCATTTGTGTATAAACAGTTACTGAGGCTGAACCAAGTCTCAGTGGACTTGAATGAAGTAGTTAAGACTGTCTCTTGTGTGAAATGATGTGTGAATTGATGGCTGGCAGTCAGTTCAGTCTGCAGTGATCTATTCTAATTACCAAAAGCCACCAAGGTTTCCCAATTTTCATAATGTACAATCTGGGTCACTTGAAAGGAAGAAAGAAATTAAATACTTTGTGCCAAGGTGAATTTCAGTGTGTGGCCTAATTTGTATTGCACTTCAGGAATGTAAGCAGAAGGCAAATATTTATATCAGATGGGAGATGTGACATTTTTAAATAGGCAAGTTGCTTTTATAATTTTGGCAGCTGGGAGGTTTACTGATTAGATTCTGTTGTTACTGTTTAAGCAACAGATTTGCCTGGGGCAACAGGGAAACACGTTTTTGTATTGCTTTTTCTATCACTGATTTTATTTGTTCACTGTATTCACCTTTATAAATATTCTTCAAGATTCAAGAGCACCGTGCTTTTCCAGTGTGTGCCTTGTTATTTTGGCAACCAAGGAGTAGAGTTTAGAGTCCAGTTGTTGGCAGAATGAACACCATGTACTGATATGTGTAGCCCAGGTATTATAAGGCTTGGTACCCTCTGTTCTTTTGATATCATGTTAGTGTCGTGGTGTTCAAATCCACTGGAGAAATCAGAGACTTAGACTCAATTCAAATTTAGAGTAAATGAATTTATTCTTTTTAAAAAACTTTTTATTGATTCTTTGTGGATGTCACATTGCACATTCCTATCCCATTCATCTTCCTGTCCCTTTGTATCTGCCCTCTGCCCTTGCAGACCCTCCCCAGTAAAATAAAATTTAAAAGAAAAAATCTCACTGTGGAAGCTGTGATGTTGCAGAGTGAGCCGCACAGTGTACCCTTTAGTCCTTACGCCTTTACTTGCAAGGGTTCGTTGGCTTCTGCTATGCTACCAGTACTAGGCCCTCGCTTTTCTCGGATATCCTGTTGCTGCCCTGTGCCACTGAGATCCTGCAGCTTTGCATCTGCAAGATCAGCCCCTTCATGTGCTCCAACAGTTCATAGATGAGGTGGATGTTGGGTTGGGCCAACCGTTAGCCCTGGTTCTGGCCTTGGGTGGTAACTGGGTTGGTTAGCCTTCCAGTTCTCTTTCATCCTCACCACCAGGGTTAACTCTCCAGCATTGCCCTGCTAGCTCACCTAATGCAGGAGGCAGCAAGGGGTGGGGCCTGTTCTGCTCTCATGCCATCTGGGTGCTCACTCACACCCATGCCACCAGGATCAGCTGAGTTGCCCAGGTGAGGTTCAGGATCCACTCTTCCTAGTGCTGCTGCTGGTGAGGGCCAGGGACAGCTCTCCTGCCCTCATGGTCCCAAGGCCAGTTCTCCTGCCTTCTATAAGTGGCCAGTGTTGACAGAAGTTTTCTGTCTCACCCAGTCCCACAGCCATTCAGTCCCAAAGAAACACACAGAGGCTTATATCAATTATAAACTGGTTGGCCTGTTAGCTCAGGTTTCTTATTAACTAACTCTTATATCTTAGTCCATAATTCTTGTCTGTGTTAGCCACATGGCTTGGTACTTTTATCAGTGAGGAATTCTCATCTTGCTTCCTCTGTGTCTGGGTGATGACTGCAGACTGACCCTTTTCTCTTCCCAGAATTCTCCTATTCTGGTCGCCCTGTCTATACTTCCTGCCTGGCTACTAGCCAATCATCATTTTATCAAACTAATACAAGTGACAAATCTTTACAGGGTAAAGACCATTGTCCCATAGTAGGTAAGGGGTGGTGGGGGTCATCTTTCCCCTGCTCATGCCACTACATGGCAGATGGGAGGGTGGGGCCATCTACCCCACTGTCATTCCCTCAGGGCCAGCTTACCTGTGCCTGTCAACAGGGTCAGCTGTAATGTGCTGCTCAGACAAGATGCAGAGCCTGCTCTCCTATGTGCTGCAGTTGATGAGGGGCAGAGCTAGCTCTCCTACTCTTGTGACCCTGGGGCCTGCTCTCTTGCCTGCCACAGGTGACAAGGGATGGGGGTAGGATGGGGAGGGCATCTTTCCCTCACCGGTGTACCACATGGTGGATGAGTGGGGGCAGGGTGAGATCTCCTGCACCCATACCCATAGGACAGCTCATCCGTGCCCCTGGCAACAGGGTCAGCTCTACTGTGCTACCTGGACAAGGTGCAGGGCCTGCTCTCCCCAGTGCTGTAGCCAGTGAGGGGCAGGATCAGCTCTCCCACTCTCGTGGCCCCATGGCCAGCTTTCCTGCCTGCAGTAGGTGGCGAGGAGTAGTAGTAGCAGCAGTAGGAGCCAAGCTCCTGGGGGTGAGGGTGCCATCACTCCCTCACCCACACTGCAGTGTCTCAGATTGTGGGGCTAGCTCTCCCACTTCCATGCCTTCAGGCCTGTTCACCCACACCCCTGCCAATGGGGTCATCTCTACTGTGATATCCAGGCAAGGTGCAGGGCCTGCTGGTCTGAGTGCTGCAACTGGTGAGGGGCAGGACCCGTCTTCTAGTCTCAAGACCCTGGGGCCAGCTCTCCTGCCTAGCAGAACTGCTACCTTATACTATGCTAGAAGTGGTGGTTAGAGGGTGTGGGTAAGGGCAGATATCAGAAAGGGCAGATGCATTACAAACAGCAATAGAATTCACAGCTGGGCAAGAAAATTGTTTTTGCTCCCCTCAGTTGTCTTTTTCTTCTCTATATATAGTAATAAAAGACTATTTCATCCTCCTTTCCATAGCAATGAGGTTTTACAGAAGCAAAGGCAGCTGTTAATACCTCACAGCCCATTATCCTATTCTATCTCACCTGCAGGCCACTAGGATCTTCCAGGCAT